TTTTTTTTTTTTTTTTTTTTTTTTTTTTTTTTTTTTAATATTCTTACTAAATCCATTCTCAGTAAATATACTTTTAAAAAAAATTACTATTTAAAATGAGGTATAAAAAAAGAAATAAAAATAAATAAAATTTATCAAAGTATATTTTCTTTTTAATTGTTTAATAATTATGGAATTTTTATTAAAATACTTTTAATATAAAAAAAAAATATTTCATTAAAAAATAGTTCTGTAAAATTCACTACAACTTCATATATATTATTAAAATAAAAATTAAATATTTTTATAAAAATAAAATATAAGAAATATACATGTATATGTATATGTATTTTTTCTTTTTTTTTTTTTTTTTTTTTTTTTTTTTTTTGTGTTATTGAAGAAATTTTTTTTTTTTTTTTAATAAAAATTAAAGAATATTAAAATATATAGTATGATTAATTACACGAACTATTTGATTATTTGAAAATGAAAAAAAAGTTAAATTTTAATAATTTAGAATATCTTAATATATTTAAAAAAAAATTTTGAATGAACAAAAAAAGAAAAAAAAAGAAAATAACCTATAGATATGAATACATAACCTTTTCCTTATAATTTATATACTAAATTTAACCATATCCTTTTAAATATATTTTTATTAAAATTGTACTTTGAAACTTATTTCATTAATAATTAAAATGATATTAACATACATTATTATTCTTTCTGTATGTTTTACCGCTTTCCCTTTTTTACATTATTTCATAATATAAAATTTTGTTTTAAAAAAGGATAATTTAGGTGTTCCTTTTGTTCAATATATATATATATATATTTTTAATTACATGATAGGTAGTGTTATTTTTATAAAAAATATAATAAAAAAAAAAAAAAAAAAAAATATAAAATACCTATTATTTTATAATTCTACATATAAATTAATAGGTACATAAGTGGTTTTATTTTTAACTATTCTATAAGGATAAGCAAAAAAGAAATATAAAACCAAAAAAAATAAACATAATTTAAAATATAACTCATATTTTTTTTAAGAATAATTTAAAAAAAAAAAAAAAAAAGGAATTATATCAATAAAATATTATTAACTATTGTAATAATAATATAAATAGGACTAAAAGAAAGAACAACTTTATAAGTTATTTTTGTATAATATAGGTGTAAGAAATACGAGTAATAAAAATATAAAAAAGCTTTTAGTTACAACTTTATAAACAACTTAATTTTAATGTTTTCATTGTTAATCTCAATATATTATTTTATTTAAACATAAAAGTATCATATAAAATAGACATATAACTTTTCATATAATTTGATAAATATATAAAAAAAAACATCATAATATTTTTACAAATTTTTGTATACTCTTATAAAAAATAGAACCTTACATGTTTCCTTAAGAATGTTTTTAAACAAAGATATATATGTTTTTAAATATAAATATTTTAAAATACTTTATATTTTTTATTAATAAATTTTTTTTTAAGTTTTAATTTATTATATATTTTATTTCTTTTTTATATGCGCCTCTTTTTTTTTTTTTTTTTTTTTTTTTTTTATATATATATATATATATATACATATAAATATTTCAAAAATTAAATTTTTTTAAAAATATTTTATATATTTAAAAAGGATAAAAAAAAATATTCACGAAATTTAATAATTAAAAGGTTTACATAAAAAAAAAAAAAAATATAAAATAATTCATATTATTTATTAAATGTAAATTTTTTTTGCTACTGTATTAAAAAAAAAAAATACGTGATTTTATATTAAAAAAAAACAAAAAAATTTTATTCATTTTTTATTTAAAAACTTCTATATTTATATATATATTTTTTTTAATATAGTTTTAATATTTTAAATAATTTTCTTGTAAATTTTAATATATATTTTGATTTTTATTATTATTTATTTATTTTTTTTTTTTTAAAGAGTATTTTATTAATAATACACCTTAATTTTTTTTATTTTAAATAATTACAATTAATTAAAATTATTTTTATTTTTTTTTTCTTTTAAATAAAAATGGTGAAATTAAATAAAAAAGGAGTAAGTAAATCTGATGAAGTGAAATTTTATAATATAAAAGGAAAAAAAAAAGTTTTAATTCCTGTTAAAGCTAAAAAAACAATTGCTAAAAAGTATTATGGAAGAAAATTAGCATCAAAAAGAAAATATGTTGTTCAAAGAAAAATTAGAAAATCAATTGAAATAGGAAAAGTTGCAATCATATTATCAGGTAAACATATGGGTAAGAGATGTATTATCTCAAAAATTTTGAGATCAGGATTACTAGTTGTTGTAGGTCCTTATGAAGTTAATGGTGTCCCATTAAAAAGAGTTGATCCACGATATTTAGTTGTTACATCTACTAATATATTTAATTTTGATAATATGAAAAAATTAAAAGAAAATTTTATGAAAAAACTTGAAGACATTAATGATGACTCATTCATAAAATCATTAGAGATAAAAAGAAAACAAAAAAAACTTCTTAAAAATAAGAATGAATCCCTTTTTATGAATAATGTTATTGATAAAATAAAAGAAATCAGAAAAGAAGATCCCAAAACTCAAAAATTAGAAAATATACAAAAAGATATTGGAAATTTATTAAAAGCAGAAATTTTAAAAGATAAAGTTTTTTACTCATATTTAAAATCAAAATTCACTTTAAGAAATGATATGGTTTTACACAAAATGAAGTTTTAAATGTTTATAAATTTTTTCATTTTATAAATATTTCTTTTCATTTATTTTTATATATATATATTTATGTATTTTTATATACATGTAGTTTTATATGTATAAAAATTTTCTTTTTATGCTTTTTTTTTTTTTTAATTGTAAATTTTATGTATGTATAATTTCATGAATTCTTTTGTGTTATATATATATATATATATATTTATATATATATAATATATGTGTATATGTATTTTTTTTTTTTTTTTTTTTTTTTTTTTTTANNNNGTTTTATATGTATAAAAATTTTCTTTTTATGCTTTTTTTTTTTTTTAATTGTAAATTTTATGTATGTATAATTTCATGAATTCTTTTGTGTTATATATATATATATATATATTTATATATATATAATATATGTGTATATGTATTTTTTTTTTTTTTTTTTTTTTTTTTTTTTATAAAGATTTATATTTAACAAAATAACGAAATATTAAAAATTAAAATTGAGCAAAAAATATTTCTGAAAAAAAAAAAAAAAAATTTACTATTTAATAAAATAAATGAGTATTATATATATTTATAATTTCCAAGTATTTTTGCAACAAATATAATAAAGGCAAATAAAATAAAAAAAATGTTAGGTTAAAATTTTAATTCAAATTAAAAAATTATAAAACATAAATAAAACAGCTTAACAAGTTTGTAAATATTTGGATAAGAAAAATATACCAAAGTGAAATAATTTTGTTAGTTATGTTAATTATATGTAAAAAGAAATGAATAAAAAACTTTTTTATGAAATTTATTTTACTAATATCAATAGTAAAATTTTTTAAATAAAATTAAAAAAGGTACCTTTTCTATAAAATAATGATAAATTTATTTTAAAATGTGAGTTTTTTCTTATAAAATGAAATTCATATGATCAAATATAAAAAAGACAAAAATTATAAGATATTAAGTTGTATGTATATTTTAAGATTTTTTGTTATTTTTATTATTATAACTTAAAAAAAAAAAAAAAAAAAATAAAAGAAAATGTAATTTAATGATATTGATTCTTATTATATATATCTTCAAATATATAATGGAAATATAATTTTTTCTTAACTCATAACAAATCATTATCATCCCCTAAATCTCCTTCTTCAGCTTGAGCCAACTCTTCTTGTTGTCTAATTTTTCTTTCTTTTGCTTCCTCATTCTCTTTTTTTTCATTTTCATCAGGATATTGCATTGCCTTAATAGCATCAGAATATAATTGTAAGCAAAAGGCTATTCTTTTATGAAATGTTTTCATTGGTTCTCCTGTTATATAAATATCACTGTTTGATTTAGATTCAAGATATTGATTTTCATAATCAATTGTTGCTTCAATAACTCCATCGTGAATTGCTTTAGCTGTAATTCCTTCTACATCTAATGAAGATTCTACTCCTATTTTTTTACCTATATCTTTCTACAAAAATAAATATAAAATTATTATATCTTGCATACATAAAAAATAACAAAATATATATATATATATATATATATATATATATATATATATATATATATATATGTTTATATATTACATAAAAATTAATGATCTTATTTGATATATATTAATCAATCACATAATTATATTATATATTGAATGAGATTTTTTTATTTTGTTTTATTTTTATTTCTTACAATGGATATTCTAGAATAAGATAAATTAATTATCCTTAATGCAGTTTTTATTACATTATGATGAATTCTTTTAATTAAAAGGTAAACTCCATCATGTATAAATAATTCATTATAATCGCCCATAACTTTAGAAAACTTATTTATATCACCATTTCTAACAGCTAATACAACATGTTTATATGGGATTAATTTTTTTCTCATATACTTGTTGCTGAATAATGATCTATCAGGTATATCACCCATAAGCAATTCAACAACAATATCCATTTTTGTAGCTGCAAGTTTAAATCCTTTTGCACTTTGACTATTCTGAGGTGCTTTTCTAATAGCTTGAATTAACTTACTATGAGCTTCACTATAATCTAATTGAATTGCTAAAATTTTCCCAATATAATATAAATATCTAGCATATTGAGCATTAGATGATAAATTTTCAGGAAAAGAAGTTTTACTTATAAATTTAACTGCTAAATCATATAAATTATGTTTAATATAATCTCTCAAAATTAAATTTAATACAACAGTTTGAGTCATAACATCACGATGCAAACATGCATTTCTGTATATATATAAAAGTTTTTGCCTTACTTCTGATAATTTTCCTCCTAATTCATGAACCCATGAATAATAAAAATAAACTTTTGCATTTATATAATCTAAAGATCTTCTATTTAATTTATTTATCCTATTTACAATAACTGTTGATAAGTTCATCGCTTCTTCATAAAATTTTTTATCTAACAAATATAATAATATCATTATATAAAAAAAAACCTCTATTTCTGGTAATGAATTACTATATGTTTTATCATTAATGTTTGAAAATTCATTTATTTCTTTATGCAATTCTTTAAACTCATTTATATACTTATTTAATATCATATATATAGGATGTGTTTCTTTAAATATTTTGTTAATCAAGTTTATTATCATTGGCATTAATGTATGACTATCGCTTTTTATACTTAACCTCATACTTTTTATATATTTTAACATCCGCAATATATACCTATTGTCTTTATAAAATATTGCATTATTTATATAATTTATACTTGTTAATAAATTATTCACAAATGTAACATTTACATCATCTTTTTCAATCTCCTTTATTTCAACATCACTTTTTGCATATTCTACTTTTTTATATTTTTCTTTCATATTTTTTAGATACTCTAATTTTTTTTTTTTTTTTCTTTAATAAAATTTTCCTTCTCTTTTTTATATAATATTGATTTCCTTTCTCTTATAAATATATTTATTAGCTCTTTTTTTTTTTTTTTTTATCAAATATAATTTACATAAGATTATTTTAAATTATTCAAAGTATATTATCTCAAAGATTCTTTATATGCAATTTGTATTATATATTTATAAATTCCTTTGGTATATATATATATATATATATTTTATATTTTTAAATATTTCTCATAATTTACTTTTTATTATAAATTTTTATTCATTTATATTACATCTTTTTTTTTTTTTTTTTTTTTTTTTTTTTTTTAAATTTTTTTTTTTNTATATATATATTTTATATTTTTAAATATTTCTCATAATTTACTTTTTATTATAAATTTTTATTCATTTATATTACATCTTTTTTTTTTTTTTTTTTTTTTTTTTTTTCCTTATATTAAATATTTTATACTAAATTTGAAACTTTTATATTTAATGATAAGTATAAGAAAAAATATATTTATCAACCAGATTCATAATTTATAAAATAATATGTACTATTTTAAGAATTGCATTAATAAAAATACAATTTTCTTTAGATATTTAAAATTTATTATATTTGGTCTAAAATTATTTTATTTAAAATTAAGAATATATTTCTCAAAAAAAAAGTTCAATATTCTTATTATTTTTTGTACTTTTTTTATACTCTTTTTCGTATGTTCTTTTATTTTTTAATTCATAATAATACTCAAAACATAAAATTATAAAATTAAAAAAATAAATATAAACTTTAAAGGTATTTATCATAAAAAAAATACATAAAATAAATTACAAATGTAAGTTGCATGCTTTGTAAAATAAAATAATATATATTAATATTTTTTTTTTTTTATTTAAACATATAATTTTTTTTGTGTAGTTAAATTTTTTACTGCCTCTTTACACAAAAAAAAATTTACATAATTATTGTGAAACCAATTTATAGGAAAACATATAAATAGAATAACTTGTATATATATGTAAAATAAAAATTATTAATAAAAAAAAAAAAATACTTATGAAATATATTTTTTCTTTTTCTTTTGAATAAGATAATTTTTATAACATAATGTATATTTTATATGTTTTCATTTAAATATAATTTTTTTTTTTTTTTTTACTAAATAAAATTAACATTAAATTATATAAAAAATTAAAAAAATAATACTTTGACTTTTGAAAAATAAAATTATAAAAAAATATTATAATCATATATATTAAATTAAGGATACAAAAAAAAAAAAAAAAAAAAAAAAAAAAAAAAAAAAAAAAAAAAAAAAAAAAAAAAAAAAAAAAAAAAAAGAAATCAAGAAAACTATAGGAATAAAATAAATATTGAAAAATTATGTAAAAAAAAATAAAATATATTAAAAAGTGTAAAATACAACGAAGAAAACTAATATGGAAATAAGAATAAAATTCTTTAATTACAATTACTGGCTCTTTATAAATGAATACAAAAATATATAAATAAATTTTTATAATTAAACTTTATTAAGTACATACATATGTATATATATATTTAAATACGTTATAACTAGGTTAGTTTTTCTAAAGGTAACAAATTCATATTTTCATCAAAGTTATCTTTGTTTAAGTCTAATTCCTAATAGTATAAAAAAAAAAAAAAAAAAAAAAAAAAAAAAGGAATTAAAATATATCAATGCATTAATAAATCAATACACTAAAAAAGAATCATATTTCATTTTTATTATTATATTTTATTTTATTTTATTTTTTTTTTTTTTTTTTTGTACATCTATATTATCAAGGTAACTTTTCTTCTTAAAAAAAATATGGTGGATAAATGAAAATGTATACATAACTGAAAAAGTGAAATGTTGATATTATAATGAATAATAAAATAGGTAATTTTAATTTGGATATAAAAAATATAAAAAAAAATTCTTAAACTTTTTTTTTTTTTTTTTTAATACTTAAGAATATCCAATTGGAAAAAAAGTAACTATTCGCAAAATATGGAATGCCTAAAAATAAAATAATAAAAAAAAACAAAAAAAAAAATAAAAAAAGTTTATATAAGATTTAATAGTTTTTTTCTTAAAAAAGAAAAAAATAATTATCTCATTTTTTATGTTTAATTGTAACTTATATATTTGTATTCTAACCAAAAAATATTTTATTAAAAAAAACAGATAACACTGACATTTTACAAGAGTTTTTGTCATTCTTTAAAGAACATTTAATATAACCTAATTTATCCTATAAAAATTTAATTTTATTCTTTTTTATTTATATTTTGTTCAATTCATTTTATATATATATATATGTTTAATTTAATTTAATTTAATTTCTTTTTGATTATTTTTCATATTTTAATTTTTCTAACACTTAGTTTAATATTTTGTATTCCATAAGTTATGTAGTTTGGAGCAATCTTAAAAAATAGAAAAAAAAAAAAAAAAAATGATAAATTATATATGAATAATAATTTTATTTTTTGTTTTTTCTTTACTGTCAATAAGGTCATTATTAGAACCAATATAATATGTATAATTAAAAAACAAAGAATTAACATAGTCTGTAAATATAAATAAAAGACATTCATATGTTTCAAATTAATTATTTGTTCTAATTTAATCTGGTTTCATTTTTTAATAAATACCTCAGGAGATGACTTTTTAGGTTTCAATTTATAAATTGGGATAAAAAAAATTCGTATTCCTACATTTACAATACCATATAAAGAACAACAAAAAATATATATAGCTAAACTAGCTATAACTAATATATCTAACGGAAAAAACTAAAAAGTATATTAAAGAAATAGATAAATTAATATTAAAAAATTTCAATAATTTTATTTATTTTTTATTATTTTATTTTATTTTTTTTTTTCTTTTTATATAAAAATTATGCAAACCCTTGAAAAGAATATTAGTACAGAATCAAGTAAATTAAAAATACTATTAATTTGCTCAAGAACAAATCCGCATTTATATGCACAAATAGAATTAAAATACTTTTTTAAAAAAAAAAAAAATTAATAAAAAATAATAATAATTAATATATAAGTAAATATATTTAAGCTTAATTATTTGTTTTTGTTTCTTTTTTACTTTATCAATTATTGAAGCTAATAATGATATATATATTATAAATGAAAATGAAAGGAATATTAAACCTGTTATAACTCTAAAATTTAAAAAAAAATTAATATAATAATGTATAATACTATTTATATATATATATATATATCTTTTTTTTTTTTTTTTTTTTTTTTTTTTTTTTCATTAAACCTAAAAGTAAATATTATTCCTATAATATATGATAGCCACGATTCTGATATTTTTTCTACTTCTTGTAATTTATAATTATATCTACTCAACACTCTAGAAAAATAAAAAATATAAACCTATTTTATTAATAGCATATATATGTCAATTATTTTTTCTAATGGACAAATTAAATAAAATTCATTTATTTACTAAATTATTTTTACACTGATATTTAAAAACATTTTAAACGTATAAAAATAAAAACTCTTTATAAATATGTATATACCTTTTCATTTGTTCAATTTTTAGAATTTCATATTTATCATTTCCCTTTACTTCACTATTTGAATTGTATTTATTCTTAAAATATTTTTGGAAAAATTTAATTTTATAAATATTATCAAAAAATTAAATATATATTTTAATATAAATTATAAATAAATATTTATACTTACTTTTATGATTCTCTCTCTCTCTTTTAAATTAATAAATCGATTTTCTATTTCTTTTTTTTCGTAATCAATATCTTTTTGTTGTAAAAATGATAAAGGTAAACAAGCTATACCATAACTCTTAAAAAAAAAAAAATAAACAACAATTAAAATAATAATATTAAGAAAAAATAAATTTAATGCTTTTAATTTTGTATTATTTTGCTCATTTTTTTTTTTAAGTAAAAAGAGTTGTATATGTATATATTTTTTTTTTTTTTTTTTTTTTTTTTTTTTATTACTGTATATGTAACCCAAAATGATACACCTATTAAAACAACACATCCCATTAAAAATAGAACTGCTGATTCTCCAGCTAAAGTAATTAAAAGATACTAAATTTTTACTAATAGAATTATTATTTTTTTTATTATTATTTTTTTTTATTTTTTTAACTATGTTTCATATCCAATAATTCATAAATGTATTCAAGTTCTTTCCCTTTTTCCTATTTAATAAACCAATAGAGATGTTAGAAAAAAAAAAAAAAAAAAAAAATTATATGTTGTTGATTATGTAAAAAAAATATTATAAATAAAATATATATATATATATATATAATTCTATATATACTAATGTTAATAATATATGAAAACGATTTTTTTTTTTTTTTTTT